CAAACCTCCCGGTAACAGTCTAAATAAAACATGAACTTATTTTGGTGATTCCTCAATTAAACAATGTAACTTCAAGATAACGCACCCATTTATAACTTACCAAAATATATTTCTCAAAAACATCATTTTTTTTTGTGAAATACCAACCTATTTTAAGTAAGAAATTAAAAGAAAACATTTTTACCACCGAATTTTCATAATTCGTGCAATCAAAAGTTAACTAACTCTATTCATTAATTTCAATTTTTCCCAAACATTTGTCTTCTAGTTCTTAGAAATACCTAAGGAGATTTATAAATAATGTCATGTTTAAAAATATAATTGGCCTAATACTTATATCTTATGATAGGTGTTATTTTAATCATGCTTCGCCAGCTTGTAAAAGGCGTTTACACTATAACTGTTGTTTTGCTGTTCTGTTAAAAAGTACCCCCTCCGTAGCTCAGCGGCAAGCCTGAGGGTTTATAATGTTAAAAATGGGGTTTCGATACTCGCTGTGGGAAATCACAGATAGTCCATTGTATAGTTTTAGGTTTAACAACATCAAAAACTCAATCTATAACTGTTGGAAAGCAATTTGAAGATTAATTAAACTAGTTAAACTTATATTCCTGGTTCTTCACAGGCTGGGTATGGGTAAGTACAAGGATCATACAGGGGTTAGGGTACTTACCTGTAACTGTAATACCTTTGTCTGATGTTAGACTATTTTATTATACAGGAGTTAGGGTACATACCTGTAACTGTAATACCTTTGTCTGATGTTAGACTGTTCTATCATACAGGGGTTAGGGTACTTACCCGTAACTGGAATACCTTTGTCTGATGTTAGACTGTTTTATTATACAGGAGTTAGGGTACATACCTGTAACTGTAATACCTTTGTCTGATGTTAGACTGTTTTGTCATACAGTGGTTAGGGTACTAACCCGTAACTGGAATACCTTTGTCTGATGTTAGACTGTTCTATCATACAGGGGTTAGGGTACATACCTGTAACTGTAATACCTTTGTCTGATGTTAGACTGTTCTGTGATACAGGGGTTAGAGTACTTACCCGTAACTGGAATATCTTTGTTTGATGTTAGACTGTTTTATTATACAGGAGTTAGGGACATACCCGTAACTGTAATACCTTTGTCTGATGTTAGATTGTTCTATCATACAGGGGTTAGGGTACTTACCCGTAAGTGTAATACCTTTGTCTGATGTTAGACTGTTCTATCATACAGGGGTTAGGGTACATACCTGTAACTGTAATACCTTTGTCTGATGTTAGACTGTTCTGTGATACAGGGGTTAGGGTACTTACCCGTAACTGGAATACCTTTGTCTGATGTTAGACTGTTCTGTCATACAGGGGTTAGGGTACTTACCCGTAACTGTAATACTTTTGTCTAATGTTAGACTGTTCCGTCATACAGCTGCTTTTAGGAAGACCATATTAGTTAACCCAACTCGTTAATGTACACTAATAACATTACTTTCATCCCGAGTTGAAGGTATCACTTCTCAAATTATTTAAGTATTATTAAACCGAGTTGAAGGTATCACCTCTCAAATTATTTAAGTATTATTACACGGAGTTGAACGTATCACTTCTCTAATTATTTAGGTATTATTACACCGAGTTGAACGTATCACTTCTCTAATTATATAAGTATTATTACACCGAGTTGAACGTATCACTTCTCTAATTATATAAGTATTATTACACCGAGTTGAAGATATCATTGCTCTAATTATTTAAGTATTATTACACCGAGTTGAAGGTATCATTTCTCTAAGTATATAAGTATTATTACACCGAGTTGAATGTATCACCTCTCAAATTATTTAAGTATTATTACACCGAGTTGAAGGTATCACTTCTCTAAGTATATAAGTAATATTACACCGAGTTGAACGTATCACTTCTCTAATTATTTAAGTATTATTACACCAAGTTGAAGATATCACTGCTCTAATTATTTAGGTATTATTACAACTTATATTGAACTACACAGAACACAGTAAAATGGAGACAGAAGAAGAAGTACAAAAAATACAAATACTAATTCGTTAAATTGCAGTCCTTATTACATTTTGATCAAAGTCGCTAGAAAATAAAACTGTAGTATTTGGTTTATCAATACCAAAGTATTAACATTATTTACAAAGGTCTAACTCTCGACTGAGTCGTGTTATCCCCATCTTAAATATGATTTTAATCGAGCTCGGTTCAACATCTTACTGTATTGGAACAAGAATTATGTTGACAGATTTAGCTAAGTTAAACTATGAGTAAAAAGGAAGACATAATATATTTGTGCTTTAAAAATAAACCACAAGTAGTAACGTCACGTTCACGGGTATCTATGTAATTCATTTAGTGTCGGAGGGCTTCAAGATACAGCCGAATTGTTGTAGATTGAAGGATGCTGGATATGTGAAGAAAGTTGTATTTTCTAGGTTTGTCACCAAGATCACGAAAATCTGTAACTTTCTGAATATGTTTAAGCAAGGAAAAACAAAACAAAAACAAACTTGGAGTTAAGAAAAAGATATTAGGAAGGCACTCGTAGAGTGCAGCCCCCGCTGCTCTTTTTTTGTTTTTACTTTTCATTAACCAACATAAAATATAGATGTAGGTGTCAAGATTTTATTTTTTAAATCTTTGAACTTTAACTATTTTCAAAATACCCCCCCCCCTCCCCCCCGTGGCACAACGGCATGTCTGCGGACTTACAGCGCTAGATAGCCCATTGTGTAGGTTTGTGCTTAATTTCAAACAAAGAAACAAAATATTCATTGGCTTCCATTATAACGAAAGTGATTGACCCTCTGTGTGACCCAAAAGTTTTATCAGTTCGTACCAGATTTGATCTAAATCACTGGAGAGAAAATAGTATTCCATTCCCAGACCGGGCGTAGTAATAAACAAACTTAATATAACGTACAGAGAGTTTAATTAATTTTTCTTTATAGGTATTTAGGTAATATTTAAGACCTTGGAGGATGAGGATGTTGTGTGTTTACATCTTATGATTTTTACGGTAAAATACTACGAGGATTATTAATTATGCCAGGTTTCCCGGGTACGTACTCTGAGACCTAACAAGGCCATGTCCATGTAGGTAATTAAAGTAGTATTTAATGTATTGAATTCACTTTTTAGTCATCTGCACGTTACAAACACTTCCAGTGATATTCATTCACGTTTTTTCTTAGGTTTAAATTACTATGAGAGCATTGTACATAAATACACATTCAATTCTATCTTAATTCTTTAAACTAATGATAAGGTTGATGCCTAGTTACCTATAGACAGCCTTAGTTTGTGTTTGTGTCTAAAGTACAAGTTAATCTTCATGTAAATAGTAGCGGTCTAATCCACATTTAAGGGCCAGGCTTTCTTAAGTGTCCGTTTTACAACTTGAAAATGTTGAAATACAAATCTTTTCCTTTAAGTATGTTTTATACAGTTCTTGAAAATATAACTACTGAAAAACCTTGTGACAACAATCTATCACTTGGGCTACATTCTGTCATATTTTTCCACCTTGATGAAGATAACTACTGTTTTTCACATGTGTTATTCTTTACCAGATTATATTGTACCTAGAAAAAAAGGCAAAAACAAACTAATTGTAAGAAGGTTTTCCTTTCTGCTGTATTTTTTTCTGTGATAATATTTCATCTGCAGACTTTGTTTACCATCCATTCTAAAAATACAAATATGAAACCCATCACCAAAATTTATTCCGCCTCTGAATATTAGCAAAGACAGGTGTAGAAATTAATGTGATCTCCTTTACATTTCTACAGTAAATCCAGCTATAGCAGGCTAATAAGAATAGTTATTTTGTATTAGACTACTTCCACAGATCATAAACATAACCTTTTATTATAATGTGGCATTATATTATAAAGTGCAAAGCAAATATAGGGAGTTGAAATAAAATGATGATCTCCTTTACCTATTCTGTGAACTCCTTTACATGCATCTCACCATGTCCCCAATTATTTGTTTTTATAAATAGACCCTAATTATCGCTCACAGATTTATTTTCGACATTTATCAGTCATTTAAACCTAAAACTACCACAACTCACACCATTTGAATGTTAGTTATACTGTTAAAGAGATATACATCTGTTATGTAATCCCACTTTCAAGGACTTTTCTTGCAGGAAAATAACTTGATTTGTGACTAATACATTTCAAATCCATCCTACCCTAATCATCTACACATGGTGGAAACTAAATATGGTCGGAAAAGCATTATGCACTCTAAATAATGGTGTGATGAAAGTGTTGTTAACTACCTTTCTTGTTGTTAATAATGGTGTGATGAAAGTGTTGTTACCTACCTCTCTTGTTGTTAATGATGGTGTGATGAAATTGCTGTTACCTACTTCTCTTGTTGTTAATAATGGTGTGATGAAAGTGTTGTTACCTACCTCTCTTGTGGTTAATAATGGTGTGATGAAAATGTTGTTGCCTACCTCTCTTGTTGTTAATAATGGTGTGATGCAAGTGTTCTTACCTATCTAGTTTGTTGTTAATAATGGTGTGATGAAAGTGTTGTTACCTATCTGGTTTGTTGTTAATAACGGTGTGATGAAAGTGTTGTTACCTACCTCTCTTGTGGTTAATAATGGTGTGATGAAGGTGTTGTTACCTACTTCTCTTGTGGTTAATAATGGTGTGATGAAAGTGTTGTTACCTAGCTGTCATGTTGTCTGTCGGTTGACACTATACCCCCAAGCGGAATAAATGAAAGTTTATACTTTTATAACGTTGTATATGTGTGTGTGTGTGTGTATGTGTGAATAAATATTTATGCATAAGCTCACATTTGCTCGTGTATTCGCAGGCACGCATATATCTAGATATAGTTCTCAACTTTTTTATATTGAGTTCCATTTTTATACACCAGAGCACTAGCTATTTCTAAACTTTAGGAACGTGACATTGTCGTCTCGCAACAGTACACAAAACCCTACTCTCCTGTTGTTATTTTTGGCATTTTTTTTTCAAACTTTTCGATATAGCTGAAACTTCAATTTTTGATTATTATATTTGTTTATATTAATATTATCCGAAACTTAAAACAATGTTGATTTGCCAATGGTTCACGTGTTTACATCTGTTGTTTGATGTTAATTTCAATCGTTCGATGTTTGATAATCCTTGTGGTACGAAACATTTTGTTCTATTAAATTTAAAATCTCAAGAGGAAGAATGTCTCAGACCGATACGTTGTGAACATTAAAACATCTATTTAACGTTAGCCAGTTTTACATTTGTTTCGTTTGTATAACGCAAGTCTACTGCAGGAAACAGAACCTGAATTTTAGTGTTGCAAGACCGGAAACTTACTGCTAACCCACCGGGGAACTTGTATAATTGTATAGTTACATTTTATTAGTAAGAACATTTTAATATGTTTATATATTTCTTTATTTTTCGTATAAAGTTTACAATTTTTGCAAGTTTTTCAAGTGTTTATTTGAAATGATATCAGCTTTTCTAAGAAGTACAAAAGCTTAGTGTTAGGATTTTAAAGTTTGTTGTAGAAGTCTTTGTAGAAGTAAGACTTAAAACAACTTAAACAGCTTGAAACATTGCGTACTACCATGAAGGTGCCCGGCATGGCCAGGTGGATAAGGC